CACCATCTCTTCTCCCCTGGGATTTTGGCACACCCAGCATGATTTTCAAGTCGTCAGGTCCGGGACTCCACCTGTGGTCAGCCATGTGGGAGTCTAGCACTTAAGCCACCACGCCGCCTGCTGGCCCCACAATTCAATGGTTTTTAATATTCTCACAGCAACCCTCACTACAACCAATTTAGAGCATTTTCATCATCCTAGAAAGAAACCCTGCACCCATCTCAGTCGCCACCCGTCTCCCTGCACTCTCCCAGCCCCTGACAACCACTCCTCTGCTTCCTGCCTCTGGACGCCTGTGCTGGCCACTTCCTGCACATTCGGTATGCATCCTGTGGTGCTGGGCTCCGCTCATGCCCCATAGTGTGGTCAGGCTCATCCACGCTGTAGCCCGTATTCGTGCTTTGCTCCCTTTTGTCATTGAGGAATACCCCGTGGTCTGGATACCATGTTTTCTCATTCTTTCATCCGTTGACAGACATTTGGATTGCTTGCACATTTTGGCCATTATGAGCAATGCCGCTCTGAACACTGTCTACGGGTTTCATATGGACTTATGTCTTCTTTCTTAGGTACATTCCTAAGAGTGTCGCTTGTGGGTCATCTCGTAACGCTGTGCTCTGAGCAGCTGCCAGATTCTCCCAAGGTGTGACACTATTCCACCACCCTATCAGCAGTAGGTGAGGGTTCTGATCTCTCCGCAGCCTTGCCAATGCTTGTTATTATAATACTGTAATGTTATCTGCCTCATTGAATGTAGCCTTCTTCCTGGGTGTGCTGTTCATTTAAAAGATCCCTCTGGGCCCAGACAAGTAGGGCAGCCTGTAGGGTACTGGACTGCAGTGCTGGAAGCCACATGGACATCCACGGGTTCAGATCCCTGGATGTACCATTTTTAGGTGCACACCGAGCACACACACCAGCATGTCCAGGATCCCGAGGAGCTGGAGGGCTGAGGAGGGGAGATCACAGCATGACAAGACTGTGCCCTTGAGGGGAAGGGTGCTCTCTCTCTCCTTTCTCTTCACGACTGTGTATGTGTGTACAGTCCCCGTCATAAATAAAGCATCTCTCTGGCGTAGATGACCATGGCGTAGGCCAGAGTGGTGATGTGGCAGTGGGAAGAATTACTCAGTTCTAGATGGACTTTGCCGGTAGACAGGTCTTGCTGAAAGTCTTATGAGGGCGCGTGGGGGGGAACTGTTCCTGGGGTCAAGTGAGATGGAGGAATAGTTCTTGAAGCGTGAACAGACCAGTGAGGAAACACAACTGATTTCTATAGTACCGCCACGGTATTTAAATAATAACACTGAGTCATGGAAAGTGAGAGCGCTCCTGGGGTCACTTTTCTTTGACTTTATTACAACATAAAAAGGAGTCTCGGCTGGGTGTCAGTGTCTTTAACACCTCCTCACTTGTAAGTCTTCCTGTAGCAAATAGGGAAGGCCTTCGGGTCAGAGACTCTGGCATCTTGCTGGAATTTGACAACACTGTTTATTTTTATTTAATCTATTCTAATGATTACTTTTTTAAGAATTATTTTTATTTTATTTAGACTTTGTTATTATTATTTTACAATTTGATCAGAGAGTCAGAGAAAGAGAGAGAGAAAGTGAGAAAGCAAGCCACCAGTTCCAGGATTTGAACCACGGTTGGCCATGTGGGAGTCCAGCACCTCTAATGATTACTTTTGACTGAGGGCAACTCAAATGTCACCTTCTAGAGGAGCCCCCATGATCACCTAATCTAATAACCCGCAACCTTCCTTAATTCTACACCATATACTTTGTATAAAATCTCTCAAGTTCTTTCCTTCATAGCACAATTGATTGTTTTAAATTATTCCCCAGGGATTAAACCCCACAGAACAAGGGGTCTTAATTACCCCTGCCGCATTCCTGGTGCCCAGAACCTGGATCAATAAATAGCAGTGTATTGAACATGTCTTATATGATCGTATATTGTTGTCATGAACATCAATCACAACCATGAATAGAGTTCATTCACCAAGGATTAGTTGAGCAGCTGCTATATACCAGGTGCTGTTCTGGGTGCTGGGGACATAGCAGTGCTCAAATTGGACATCAGTCTCTGCGCTCACAGACTTTTATTTTTTCTTAAAGGAGATTTTTGCCACAGGACACGTACATGCATCGGAGAGACGGAAAGTGAAAAATCACCCCTTAAGGGGATAGCCACACTGCAGTCCTTTCTCCTCGATTCCCTTCTCAGGATCTTGTGCATACACACACACCCAACATGAGTTTTAAGTCATGACAGTCTCTGTGCTCACAGACTTTTATTTTTTTCTTAAGGGAGATTTTTGCCACAGGACACGTACACGCGTTGGAGAGACGGAAAGTGAAAAATCACCCCTTAAGGGGATAGCCACACTGCAGTCCTTTCTCCTCGATTCCCTTCTCAGGATCTTGTGCATACACACACACCCAACATGAGTTTTAAATCATGAGATCCGGGACTCGAACACTGGACTCAAACCATGGTTGACCATGTGGGAGTCCAGCGACGTAAACATTACGCCATCTGCTGGTCCCCTCATAGACCTTTCATGGTAGCTATCCTAAGAGATAAATGTGCAGACTCTACAGCATATCACAGAATTCAGTACGATGACAAAAAAAATAAGCAGAGGGAAGGAGAGTGTGCGGGGCTCTTGGCTTTCCCTCCACAGAAGGAACTCTTGCCTCCCTGCTCCAGCTCCCCGCCTGAGCCCTGCAGGCTGTCAGCATCTTCCGAGTGACATTTCACCAGAGGCCTCTGCAGCTCCAAGAGCAATACTGGCTTTGAAGCTGCCCCAGCTGAGAGCCCTCAGGCTGGGGTTGGGATTAGTCACCCCTTTCTTTCCCTTGGGGTGGGGGGTGTGCCATCAGACAACCTTGGCTTTGCAGGGTCTTTCCTCACTATGGGGAAAGGGCAGGCCCTGGACACCCCAGCCCAGAGCTCGGGGTTCAGGGCCATCCCTAACCTCTATCCCAGGAAGAGGGTGAAGGTTTACAAACACAAAGAAGCCTTTGATCGGCAACAGGCCCCCAGCGTTCGGACTGTTTTTTGTTCCAAACCTCAGGCCAGGAACCATACTCTGCTCTGCCTCCAGCAGGGAGGACTGCGGGCCGCTAAGTATGTCTGCACATGCGCGTGCACGCACGCTTTGGGTAGTGGGAGGGAGGCTCTCATGGCCCCTTGATCTTTCTAACAGGCAGGCTGAGCGTGTAGGAGGAATTCAGTTCAATGCGGCGAATGTAGAGGGCCCAGCAAGGGTCCCCTCCCAGAGCCCCCATTCTAGAGGGGGACACAGCCAGCAAATGAATGAGTGAGAGTAAGGGACGTCAGGAGGTCGTGAGGGTCATGGGGAAGTGACAGGGAGGCAGATGCGTGGTGGGGTGCTACCCCTCATCGTGATCTATGATGCTCATGGGCAGTCTCTCAGACAAGATGGCATTTGGTGGAGACCTGAAAAAATGAGGCAGGCAACTGTGTAAAGGTCTGTGGGAACAGTGTTCCAGGCAGCGGGAACTGCAAATCCAAAGGCCCCGAGGTGGGAGCATGTCTGGTGTGTTGGAGGGGAGGGGCCTCCAGGTGGCTGACCCAGAGGGAGCGGTGAGGGGAGAACAGCAGAGGGGATTGAGAGGTGAGTGCTGCGGGAGCAGTGACCTACTGGCCCTGAATGAGTTGGGCCCACTGCAGTGTTTTGAACAGAGGAATGGCATGATCTGAACTGCAAAAGGATTTCCCAACTGTTGGGGAAAACCGACTGTGGGAAAGGTGAGGGCAAAAGTGGGGAACTTTGGGAGACTTGGGAGGAGGCCACTGTGATGGTTCTGGCAAGAGATGGCATGGCTTGAACCAGGGGTGGTTGGGAGGGGAAACAGGTATGTGTTCAAGAGTCCGTTACAAAGTACCACATAAGCATTTTCTGCACACTTCGAGGGGACTTCAAATAGTTCGTAGAAAAATGGAATTGAGTAAGAGTTTATCTTAGTGTAGAAAAATGTTTGAAGTCCAGGCATAGTTTTCTCGTAATACTCATTTCCACATATTTTGGAATACCCCTGGAATAAGACCGCATGCAATTTGATCATTTTAAAAGCCAAAGTCACCCAGTACCAAGTACCAAGCTCAAGAAACAGAACTTGCCCATCTGCCCTAAAGTCCCCAAGCCTCCTCCAAGTCACCACCTTTCCCCAGGGCAGGGAGAGGGCAGCTGCTCTCACTTCCGGCTGATGTTTTGAAGGTAAGGCAGAGAGGATTTGCTGCTAGACTGGGCGGGGTGGACTGAAAGAGGGCACCTGGTTTGGGGCTGGATTCTCTGACCTGTCTTTTATCAAGAGGGTAAGGTCGTGGTGGGAGCAGAGACCAAGGCCTGGAACCAGGAGTTTGTTCTTGATCATGCTGAGGTTTGAGAAGCCCAGGAGACCCCAGAGAAGATGCAAACCACCTTCTGTAGGGTTGTAAACTCAGACCCTCAAAGGGACAAGCAATGAGTAAAGAGGTCTGTCTGGGAGTAACAAATAGTTACTCTCTTCCTGACTCTATAAAGAGGGGACTAGCAGAACAAGCATGCTGACAAATGGTGACTGGAAGCCAGCCCCAGTGTGGAGGAGCAAGAGGGAGGGGCAGGCTCTGGTGTGAATTAGAGAGTGCAGCTCCTGTGAAAGGGGATGCCAGGTCCTCTGATGTTTCCAGAGCAGTCTGGTCTCTGGATTCTTAGATGAAACCATACCAAGTATCTAGCATCGGCAACAGACAATATTTGGCCTAATTCCTACCAGTTACAGGCTGATGATTCTGGGCCAGTGGCTTAGCACTGCAGAGCTTCAACTCCTCAGTCTGTAAAATGGGTGTAGTTGATAACAGTTCTGCCCTTCCAGCGTCCGCTTCCCATTTCTTCTCATGACTCCTTGATTTTCCTTAGGGCAGCGGTTCTCAGGACAACCAGCTTGGCATGACCTGAGAGGAGAGGGAATGAAGGAAGGCAACGTGTTAGCAAGAAAAGAGAGAAATAGAGGAAAGGAAAGGAGGGAAAGGAAGGGAAGGAGCAGAGGGGAAGGAGGGAGAGGAAAGAGAAGGAAGTCTAGAAGCTTCCCTTTACCTGGTTGCCCATGTGCAGAGACAACGACAGTGACTTGCGACCTCTGCTGGCAAAAGAGCTTCAGTGCCTGAATTAAGGACATAAGACTCCTAGTTCCCCAGGTTTCACCCTAATGAGAACACAAGCTTCTCCCTGGGGTTCTGGAAGAGTGACACCTGGGTCAGGACTGAGGCAAGGCAATTAAGGCATTGACCTAGGGCACAAAATTAAGTAGTCTCTGGGGCCAGCAGGTAGTGTGGTAGTTGAGGGCACTGGACTCCCACTATGGCTGACTGTGGTTCAAGTCCCAGGCCTGGTGGCTTGCTTTCTCACTTTCTCCCTCTCTCTCTTTCTCACTCTGTCCTTTCCTGGTAAAATTTAAATAAATGAATTAATTCTGTAAAAAAAAAATTTAGGGGTCTCCAAAAATCTCAAATCAAGACAAATATTTCAATGTAATAGTTCTTTTTTTAGAATTATGTAATTGTACTTACTATTTTTTTTTAATTTGCTTTAGGGCACTTGTGCTTATGAGAGAGAGAGAAAATAAAAGTGCTAAAGCAAGCCTCCAGGTCCTGGACTTGAACTTGGTTGATCATGTGGAACTCCAGTGCCTTAACCACAAACTCGAGCCACCTGCTGGCAGCAGTGTAGTAGTTTTTAAAACCAAATTGGCAAACTATGGCTCAGTTTGTAAGCTACAGTTTTATTGGAACCAGAATCAGGGTTAGAGTTTACTCTCAGCGACATCAGTGATGACACCCTCATGGACACCTTCGCTACGGTAAGTGTTCCTAGATACCTCAGCCAGCGCACAGCGTGAGCATGGCCAGCTCATCTCTCTTAGGAAGATCATGCCTTGAACAGAGCACTCACTCACACCAGGCTCTAAAGGTAACACCATTGGAACTACTTGGAACAACGTCAAAATTCTCTGGAACGGGGAACCAGCAGTTAGCGTAATGGCTATGTCGCTGGACTCCCACGTAGTCGACTGCGGTTCAAAATTTAAATAAATGAATTAATTCTGTAAAAAAAAAATTTAGGGGTCTCCAAAAATCTCAAATCAAGACAAATATTTCAATGTAATAGTTCTTTTTTTAGAATTATGTAATTGTACTTACTATTATTTTTTTTAATTTGCTTTAGGGCACTTGTGCTTATGAGAGAGAGAGAAAATAAAAGTGCTAAAGCAAGCCTCCAGGTCCTGGACTTGAACTTGGTTGATCATGTGGAACTCCAGTGCCTTAACCACAAACTCGAGCCACCTGCTGGCAGCAGTGTAGTAGTTTTTAAAACCAAATTGGCAAACTATGGCTCAGTTTGTAAGCTACAGTTTTATTGGAACCAGAATCAGGGTTAGAGTTTACTCTCAGCGACATCAGTGATGACACCCTCATGGACACCTTCGCTACGGTAAGTGTTCCTAGATACCTCAGCCAGCGCACAGCGTGAGCATGGCCAGCTCATCTCTCTTAGGAAGATCATGCCTTGAACAGAACACTCACTCACACCAGGCTCTAAAGGTAACACCATTGGAACTACTTGGAACAACGTCAAAATTCTCTGGAACGGGGAACCAGCAGTTAGCGTAATGGCTATGTCGCTGGACTCCCACGTAGTCGACTGCGGTTCACGTCCCGGACCCGGTGGCTTAAAACTCACGCCAGGCACATGTACGTGCGTGCCCAAGATTCTGAGAAGAGAATGGAGGAGAAGGGATTGCGGCGTGACCATCCCCCCAGGGGGTGATTTCTCGCTTTCTGTCTCTATGTTTCTGTCTGTCTGGCAAGCGCATGCGCCCTATAGCGAACCCCCCCCCCCAAAAAAAATTATCTGGAACTACCTGGAACCACATTGAAATTACCTGGAACTACCTGGAACCACGTCGGAATTATCTGGAACTACCTGGAACCATGTTGGAATTATCTGGAACTATCTGTCTTGGCCCTGTAGACCAGCTACCACAGTGTGCTTTAAATGTTCCAGGAAGAGTGGACCTACAACCTTTTAGCACTGAACACACCACCATGTCACATGGCAGTTCCCTGGTTCCGCCACTCACTAAGTGACCGTGGGCAAGACTTCTCTGCACCTCAGTTGCCTCCACGGTAAGATGGGCTAATGTATGCAAATAACTTGGTTAGTTGTTGTTAGACTCGGGATTGGGGGCCAGCACGTGGCATAATCATTAAGGTGCTGGACTCCCATATGGTCGACCATAGTCCCCAAAATCCCAGGAGAATGGAGGAAAAGGGGTTGCAGTGTGGCCCTCTCACTCTCTCTGTATCTCTCTGACGAACATATACACCCTACGGCAAAAACTTTAAGAAGCAAAACCAAAAGAACACCTCGGGATTGAATTCCGGTTCTGTCACTTGTTGTGCCCCTAGGATGTGCTGTTTCACACTGCTGAGAGTTTCCGCATCTGTAAAGTAGGACTGTAACCTTGGTCTGCTTGGGTTCAGGTGAGAACACGAAGCTCTGGTGCCATTGGTTCATCACTGCAAAGGACCTGCTGTTCCCAACCAGGAAGCTGAGGAGCCTGGAATGCAGAGGGCACTGACCTAGGGAAGGACTCCATGGCTGCATGAACCCTTGCTAGTCCCTCATTTCTCATCACAGGCCCAGGCTCGAGTATGCAGATAGAAAACACACCTCCTGGGAACTTCTCTGAAGTTCCTCCCCTTGGTCCTGGCCCTCTGCCATTACTCGGAAGGTGCTGACTGGGTGAGCGAAAGAAAGATCTTGGTCCCACAGGATGGTCACTCCATACGAACAGGTGCCGAAAGTATCACTGATCACAGCAGGATGAAGGTGGCAACTGGTAACGAAAGTGGAAAATTCACAAATGTGTAGAAATGAAACAACAGACTCTGAAAAACAATCCAAGGGTCAAAGAAAAAAAAATCACAAAGAAAATTAGAAAATATTTTGAGATGAATAAAAATAACATAAAATACCCAAACGTGGTGTGCAGTGAAAGCAGTGGGCAGAGGGAATTCATAGCTGCAAATGCCTAAATTAAGAAAATGACAAGGCTAGCCCCTTAACCTAGTGTTAAGGGAGCTGGATCTTATGTTGCTGACCACAGTTCGAGTCCACCTTCTGGAAGCTTGAAATACATGCTGGGGCTGGCAGGTGGCATGGTGGTTAAGAGCACTGGACTCCCATATGGCCACTGCAGTTTTGAGTCCCAGACCTGACAGCCTGCCTTCTCGCTTTCCACCTCTCTCTCTTAACTCTATCCTTCTCTGGTCAAATGAAAATAAAGTTAAATAAAATAATTATTGGGGACCAGTGGTGGCATGGTGGTTAAGATGCTCCCTCATGGCTGACCACGGTTTGAGTCCTGGACCTGGTGGTTTGCTTTCTCACCTTCTCTCTCTCTGGTCAAATAAAAAAATAAATGAATAAACTTAAATAAATTTTTTATTTTTTATTTTTTGCTATAGGGCGTGTGCGCTCGCCAGAAAGAGAGACAGAGAGATAGAAAGCGAAAAATCACCCCCTGGGGGGATGGCCATGCTGCAATCCCTTCTCCTCCATTCTCCTCTCGGGATCTTGGGCACGTACGCACATGCCCCCAGCGAGTTTAAGCCGCCGGATCCTGGACTTGAAACGCGGTCAACTACATGGGGGTCCAGCGACATAGCCATTACACTAACTGCTGGTCCCAATAAACCATTCTTTAAAAAATAAAAAATAAATATACGGTGGGTGTATGTGCATACATGCCCAAATCCTGATGGGAGGAAGAGATGGAGAAGGCGGTGCAGACATAGCCTGTCCATAATATGTATTTTCCATGGACTTTTGAAGCCACCTTGTATTTTTTATTATTAGAGCTTAGAAAAAAGAAAGGTATTTTATTATATGCCCAAATACACCTTCTCTTGGGAAAAGAAATTGCGGCTAGACAAGGTTAAAAGTTAGTTACTGGTGGGCCAGCTCTATAGCACAATGGTGAAGCACTGGGCAGAGGGGGCTGGGTCCCACACGGCCAACCACAGCTCAAATCCTGGCCCTGATAGTTTGAAAAACATGCCAGGCATGTACGCCCACGTGCCCAGAATCCGGAAAGAGAAATGGAAGAAAAACAACTGTGGTTTGACTATACCCCACTGGCAGGGGCAGGATTGCCCTCTGGTATTAAAAAATAAAGAGAAATGAGTTAAACCATTTTCATTTTTTTAACCATGACCCTCAAAACAAAATATATTTTACATCAAAACCCAGCAAATACTCTGGTCTATATATACATTTGCAGCAAGTTTCATGAAATGGTATACTAATATTTTCTAGTCTAGGATTCTCTTTCATTTAAAAAATGCTGAGGACCAGCAGGTGGTGTGGTGGTCAAGGCGCCCTGCACTCCCACATGGCCAACCAGTTTGAGTCCTGGATCTGGTGGCTTGCTTTCTCACTTTCCTTCTCTCTGTTTCAGTGTCTCTCTTTGGTCAAATTAAAATAAATGAACAAATAAACAGAATTAAATAATCCTTTAAAAAACAAACAAAACAAAACAAAAAACAGAACGCTGGTTGGGGGACATTTTGATGTAGCAGTTAAGGCACTAGACTCCCACATAGCCGACTGCGGTTAGCTTGAACATCACACAGTGCGTGCATGCCCCAAATCCCAGGAGATTGAAGAAGGGATTGCAGTGTGCCCACCCCTCCAGGGGGGGTGACTTCTCACTTTCCCTCTTTGTCTCTGTGTCTACCTTCAGCAAGTACACATGTCCTATGGCGAAAACCTTAAAACAAACAAACAAACAAACCTGGTTTTATCCCACTAAACTCATTTCAAGATGAATATATCATGTAAATGATAAAAAAAGAAACGCACCAGGTTACAGGGCTGACAAAAACATAGTATCGCCAACTGAGACTATCTTTGTCTCATCAGAAGGACTGAAAAGAGAATAATGTTCTCGTCATGTGGTTCAATGCCACACCAAGGTGCGTGAGGCGTACACGTCCTAACCTGGGAGAAAGCTGTCCCACATTATTTAAAATGCCCAATGCTGCCCAGATCGTGTCTGCTGTCCACTGCAAGCCCTTGAGAACAATGAACTACAGAAGATGACTCTTAACAAGCACAATCACGGATACAAATAAAAATATCCAAACACCTTTATTTAGGTATAATCACATAGCGTTTGTTCAAATTTACTTTAAAAAAAACAGCTGTCACACACACTCTTCTACCCCACCATGGACCGCTTTCTTCCTCTCAGGCGCACCTCATCTAATTTCTTTAGCACTGGCCTGGCCTTTTTGGAGGAGGTGGAGTAGGTCTTCAGAAAGGCTTCAAACACAGTCTCGGTGTTGGGATGGGTACTGAGGAAGGCCTTCTCTAAGACGTAGAGGTCCACTCCCTTATCTTCTGGAAGTGCTGAAATAAAGCTCAGCCCGAAGTCTATGAGCACGATGTGCAGCTGCTCCACAGGGGGCTTCAGGAGCATGTTGGAGGTGGTGAGATCACCGTGGATGAGGTCTTCATCGTGCATTCGAGCCAAAACCTGTCCAATCGTCTTGGCCAAGCCAAAGAGACTCTGGGGAGTTGTTCCAGTCCCCATAGTGGATTGAATGTAATCGCGGACAGTCACTGAGCCTTCGATTTCTTCCATAAATAAGCAGTTGGAAGCATAGTCCACAAAAAAGACAACCGGGGCGCATATCCCTGCAATCAAAACGTAAGTGGCTATTAAGTTGAATTTTTCTTTTTCTTTCTTTCTTTCTTCTTTCCTTCTTTTTTTAAAAAAGAGAGTTTTTGGCTATAGGGTACATGCACTCACTGGAGAGACAAGAGACAGACAGAAAGCGAGAAATCACCCCCAGTAGGGACAGCCACACCTCAATCCCTTCTCCTTCATTCTCCTCTAGGGATTTGGTCATGCAGACACACATGCCCATCATGAGTTTAAACCACCAGGTCCAGGACCCAAACTGTGGTCAACTACATGAGAGTCCAGTGATGCAACCATTATGCCATCTGCTGGTCTCGTGAATTTTTATTTTTCAACGGTAAGTTTATTTTTCAGACTGAGCCAGTTTTTACAGTCTATATCTACTTATTTCAGGAAAAAGATTTAGGAATGCTGCAGAAAATATTATAACTTAACTCATCTGGAAGTTTCCCCTGTTCATGCCCTGCAGGACTATGCCTGAGGCTGTCCCACAGCTTCCTCCTCCTTTCCCATACCACCCTTTAAGGTTGACCCTGGTGGTTGTCATACTTATTCCCTAAAACAAAAATCAAACAGGAATCTTGGTCCAGTCAGAGCAGTTTCCACCTAACAAGGACACTAACAGGAGGCCAAGCAGTGTGCTGGCTTAGAGAAGCATCTCTGTAGCTACAAAGGATGGGGTTCAAAACCCAGTTTCCTTATTAGTTGTAGAACCTTAAAGTTACATCAACTTCGGGCCAGTGAATGGTAGGGTAGTTAAGGGCGCTGGACTCTCACACGGCTGATCACAGTTTGAGTCCTGGACCTGGCAGTTTGCTTTCTCACTTTCTCTCTCTCCCTCTCTCTGATCAAATTGAAATAAATAAATAAATGGATAAAGTTAAATAAAAAAATTCTTTAAAAAACTTACATCAACTTCCCCATGCCTGTTTCTGCTGTCACAATAAGTTCAGTCAATAACTTTACTGGATGTTAATAATGCTCAGGACACTGTTTTAGAAACTGGGGATACATTAATGGGGACACAGGCATAAACGAGGCAGCTCCCATCCCACTGAACTTATAATAGAAAGAGGGTGGAAAGAGAAACTATAAACACACGTTAGGTCATCGAATCTCTGCAAGGGTGGAGGTGTGTCTGTTGGTGGGCTACCGCACTTGCCCCAGTGCTCCCAGTACCTAGCACAGCAAGGCCCCAGAAAATATTAAGGAAAGGCAAGGACTGCAAAAGCAAAGGCGGGGGTCCTGGCTGGGCCTCTTATTAGCTGTGTAACCTCGGGCAAGTTATCAAGCCTGACTCTCATCTGAAGACAAGGTTTATGGTGGTGGTGCACATGGTGTTTGAATTAAAAAAATAAAATTAACTGGGGCCACCATGTGGCACAGTGGTTAAGGTGCTGGACATAGCAGACTGTAGTTCAAGTCCTGGATCCAATGGCTTGAAACTCCGCCTATGTATGTATGTCCAAAATCCAGAGAGGGGAATGGAGAAAGGATTGTGGTGTGGCCATCCACCCCCCCCCCGGGGGCCCCCCCCCCCCCGGGGGGGGGGGGGGGGGATCTCTCATTTTCTGTCTCTCCCACCAGCATATGCACCCTACAGCAAAAATCTCTCTAAATGATGAAGTTTAACACTTGAGCGCTATGTGTCAGGCATACATTGGAACACAAAATGTGGCATACATGACAAAACTCTTCTATGTCACATACAGTAACGAGATTTCCCTGTGAGATAGATACTGCTACTAAAACTTTCATTCTGCAGGGGAGGAAACTGAGGCTGAAGGGTGCAATCACTGAGCCCAGAGAGCTTGGCAAGTACTTGTAATTACATCTACTTCTTAAAACGAATAAAATCAAAACTAATGATCGAAGGCTGAACCGTGCAAACGAGGAAAGGCGCAGGGAGGTTAATAACACGTCCCACGCTTAGCAATAATGAACGAAGAGAAATGAAAGGCTGGCGTTTCCCTGTAGAAGGTGCGGGCAGAAGGTACAAGTGGGAAAGCGAAGGCAAACCGAGGCACGCACGCACGCAGACAGGGAGTCCCGGCGTCCCCCTCCCGGGTCCCAGGCCCCCCTCACCTGCGCGGCGGCAGCGGCGCAGCGCGCGGGCCTCCTGCACGGCGCGGCGACGGGC